TTAGGAAAGTTGCTCTAAGAATCTGTTATAAATAACAATTTTAGACGGAAGCATTTCATGAGGGATGGCTAAATTGAATATTAAGCCATCACTACATGATGTTATTAACCTTTTAAATTCATTCGCAAAACAGTTATTTTCCATAATAAATCGATGCAGACTTACCACCCTATTCACTTACATACTGTATTTCATATATTATATGTTGGCCGGTCATGGATAAATACATAGCATCCGCCGAAACGTTAAGGTCGTAGTATTTATCCTTTAAAATAAATGTTTAGTGAAGTCTTATATTTTGTTTTTAAAATTTTAAGCGTTAAAGTAAATCTGTGAGATTACAAAGGTTACACGATGACCCCAAACAAAAAGCCACACGTGAGTGCTAGGCAACAAGCTTCAGATAATGATGTTTTCAGCCAGTTCCGTCGTTACAGACTGATGCAGATTTGTGCGGCAACCGCACTTGGGTTGATGGCTACCCTGATAGTGGCTAGAAGCATTGCGTTTATCATTTTTAGTGTTGGACTTGGCTTTCTCATCATGGCGTTAGGCTTTGCCTTTAACCACAAAGTGCTAGCTTCAGCTTATATTTTACTTGGATCCATGACGACCATGTTATTTGCCCTAGCGCTAACGGGTGCAGGCTTATTTGATTTGGCCATTCTTGGATACCCAGCATTACTTATTTTCGCAGCTATTCTAGGCGGTGTGGGTTTGTTTTTGTCAGTTTTATTTCTTGTGATTACCCAGTGTGTTTTTGTTACCTGGCTAACACTGCAAGGTCATATCACTCCCCACATTCCTACTTTAAGCTGGTCACATATGTTGTTTATACTGGTTATCTTTGTAATAACAGGGTTCAGTGTATATATTCTGGTACACGACATTAAGCGCCTGATGCTGTCATTGCAGCGTGAAAATGCCAAAGTACAACAAAGCCGAGCAGAAATTCAACATCTAGCCCATCACGATACTCTGACCAATTTACCCAACCGACTATATGGTGAAGAACTGTTTTCGCAATCCTTACTTGACTGCAAGCAAAAACAACAAAACCTTGCCCTTTTATTTATTGATTTGGATAACTTCAAACCTGTAAACGATGCCTTAGGACACGCCGCCGGAGACAAATTACTAGAGCAACTGACACAACGTCTAAGTAATATTTTAGCGCCGGAACACTATCTTATTCGTTTTGGTGGTGATGAGTTTCTATTACTCGCACCGCTCTCGAATGACCGTCGCCAATTAGATCAATTAGCTGAAACGTTGATTCAAGAGTGTTCCTCTGCATTCGAAATATTACAAAATCAAGTCGTTATTTCAGCCTCACTGGGAATAGCTTGTGCCCCAAAAGATGGGACAGACTTTAAACAACTTTGCCGAAAGGCAGATATTGCAATGTATCAAGCCAAGCAAGATGGTCGCAATACCTATCACTATTACAATGATAGTCTGGATAAAGTCAGTGATGATAAATTCAAATTACTGCAACTTTTGCGCCCAGCACTTACTGAAAGCCAGTTCAAACTTTACTATCAGCCCATGGTCACCTTAAGTACTGATGCAATTACGACTGTTGAAGCACTGTTGCGATGGCCGCAACCCGACGGTAGTATGATAAACCCAGACATATTCATCCCAATAGCTGAAAGCAGCGGCTTGATTAATGAATTAGGCAAGTGGGTCCTTCAGCAGGCATGTATGTACTGTGCTGAGCAGCGACGACAAGGCTTTTCAAACTTGCGCGTGGCGGTAAATTTATCCATCATGCAATTCAAAGATGGACATCTACAGAACACCGTTGAAACTGCATTATATGAGGCCGGTTTGTCTCCAGAAGCACTCGAATTAGAGCTAACTGAGTCGTTACTTATTGATGAAACAGACCAAATTGAAAAACAACTCACAGCATTAAGCAAGCTCGGTATCACTATTGCCATTGACGATTTTGGTACTGGATATTCAAACCTTGGCTATCTTCGTAATTTTAACGCCACCACCCTTAAAATAGACCGAACGTTTATAACCTCGCTGTGTGTAGCTGAACATGACGAATCGCTTGTAAAGGCCATAATTAGTATGGCTGCTAGTCTGGGGCTGAAAACTGTTGCCGAAGGCATAGAAGATGAAGTAACCCTTAAAAAACTGATTACACTGGGTTGCGATGTTGGTCAAGGATATTACTGGACCAAACCTGTTCCTGGGGATGTACTGTCTGAACTGCTGCGTAATCATCAGCTAAAACATGATGCGCCTTTTTAGACTGTTAAGGATCATCAGCTGTTGTATAAGGCGCTAAGTGGCTAACATTTGGATATTGTTGGAGAACACCACATCAGGCCAAATAGCATTCATTATGAATCTCAAAAAAACAAAAAAAGGTCATTACTCTTTAGTCATCACAGATTAAGTGGTCGTTATAAAAGGTTCGAACTTTTCCCTAACAAAGCATATAACTTTATATAGTGAGATTCCCTGTCACAGCAACACTGTATTTAAAATAGCTGAAACAACAAAGATTTTTACAGACTTGCCAGTGATTGAGCCATTTTAATTATATTTAATTTTTATTCAGAAGGTGTGACGGTATTTGTTCAAGTAAATGATATTTTTCATATGTTTTATGAAGTTGGCCTTCTTGTATCATTTTAGCCATCCCACTATCAAAGATAACTTTTAAACGTTGTCCCCGAGCATTATCACTAAAGATCATAAACAGATCCGATTTACCAATATCCTCTAGCTGAAAATCAGATGCCTGTAATTCTCCACCAGATTGAACCTCAAGATGTTTTAGCCAAACTTGATGTAATCCCTTCGAGTCTAAAAAATAATCTGCTCGACCAGAGACTAATAATTTATATGCCGTTTCACGCTCTTGAACTGAAAAACCTTTAATAAAGGTTTTATTATATTCCGAAATCAGCTCATCTTCATAAGGTCTTCCCCACACTGCAATATAGTTTTTCAGTGATAGAAGATCGGTATAGTTCATTCTTTTTTTATCAAACAAAATACTTATGGGTGGAGACAATATAGGGTAGCGTGAAGTGATATAACCGTCTATAAAACTTGTTGCGCCGGTCATATCAGCTGTACCACTTTTCACTTCAAGCAGTGCTCTTTTCCAAGGCATGTTGATGATTTCAAGCTGATGATCAGCAAAAGCAGCACGTATAATCTCAACATATAAACCACTACCGTCTTCGTTAGTATAATTTTCCCATGACTCAGTCACCCAACGGATACTCTCAGCATTAGCAACTCTGATATTTAAAAAATGCAAAATAATGCATAAAGTGAGCAAGTAGTACTTCATTCCATCATGCCTTGATTCTTAATCATGTTCGAATACTCTTTATTATGCTTTTTAATAGTTAAATTTAATATCAACCTTACGTCATTTTTATTAAAAGCGAGAGATAACAGCGGTGAAATCGTTGACATTGATACCCAATTTCAACAACGCATCGTTGATTTTTGACAAGAGCATGCCCGAAACTTAGAAAAAAACGATGAAGCTTTTGTGATGATTATTAATTCACGGAGTTCGAAATATGGTGATGACATTTTTTTATTCGCTCATAGGCTCAATAAATTTCGCTGAGAAAATTTTATGGAAAAGTTGAAGACGGCTATCAAGCTGCACTAATCTGAGGATTATAAGTTTGGGATTTGAAAGAAAAAAATTAATGGGTCAGAGTGATAGGTTTCACTACGACCCCTTAACCCCCAGCCAAAGATGGCCGCTACCAATCTGAATACGATTGAATTAAACATGGGAGATAATAAATTAATTGGTCGGTGTGATAGGATTCGAACCTACGGCCCCTTCACCCTCAGCCAAAGATGGCCGCTACCAATCTGAATACGATTGAATTACACATGGGAGATAATAAATTAATTGGTCGGTGTGATAGGATTCGAACCTACGACCCCTTCACCCCCAGCGAAGTGCGCTACCAAGCTGCGCTACACACCGACCGAAGCTGGGCAGTTTACGTAATTTATTTTTGTTTGCAACGCTAAATCGAGCTAATTTGTTCTAGTTGCACATTCCTTAGCCAAGATTCGCTTTTTAAGCTGAAATTTAGGGCTTTAAGTCTACTTTGGTCGAAACAATTGAAATTTTTGTAGTTCACTCACAGAGAAATATTCGCTTGGTCCACCGCCTCGCATAACGGGCTCCATGGCAGCAGTATCGT